TGATTACTAATTCTCTTGAGAACTTTGTTTTTTCACACAAAGACCAAGTAAAGTCTGGCAATCATTCCAGTCTTCTTCCTGTGCCATGGAGAGATTTGTTTTTAGCCACCCTTTCAGTAAGTGATGAAAAGTTCTTAGGAGGGCTTGGCTTTATGCTGAGGCATCGTTCTAACTCTTCATGTCCCAGGGCCAAAACCTCCATTCTTGTCTTCTGTAGGTATTAAGGCTAAATTTCTAGGTTACTGGTGACAATAAGCCACCCCCAGGCAAGCACTCATGTGATTCTTTCTCTGGTTTTCCATTCTTTCTTGATTGCTTGCTTCTAAGCATTTCCTTTCCTTTTTTTTTTTTTTAATTAAGCATGTGCTGTGTGATCTTTTTTTTTTAAAAGCTTAGCTCTGCATTTAAAATGATGTCATATTTGATCCAGCATTTTTAGATATTAGTAGCAAAGTCCCTTCCAAGTTACCTATTCTACAGTATTACTGAAACCACAAGTTGTAGTTTATTCCATATTTTGGTTATTTTCCATGTCTACTACTTTAAATTATGAGGTACCCATTACTTTTATACTTATGAATCTGCCTTCAGGTTGGAATGACATTATCAGTTAATTCAAATTTCCCTGACTCTTGCTCCTATTTGCTTACTCAGGAGCTCTTGCAGGCATTCAGTCATTTTTTTTTTCCGGGCGAAAAGTCCCCTGGTTTTCCTGGAAGTTCCCAGGAGACCTCCCAGCTCCCTGAATCCTGTGGCCCTCTTTTCCCTCTCTTGCTGGACCTTTCCATGATTGCACTAGAACTTCAAGGTCCCACAACTTCTCAAATATCCTTTTGTAGGTTGGGAGAGGGGTGCTTTTCTGCCCGTTATGTTTGACTTAAAATGGAGAGCCTCAAAGCAATATGACTTGGCACTGAATGTGTTACAGAAATTTTTCCTGAACAGCTTTACGTTTTTACTGAAAGAACCCCTCTTCCTAGGGCCAACCATAACTCCATTTTCTGAATCAGGAGTGTCAGACGCCACACCAGTTTTAGAATTTCCCCACCCCAAGCCTGTCTTCACTATTTTCTCTTTCCTTAGAATCATTCCTCTCCCAGCAGGCTCCTCACTATCTCATGCAAATCAACTTTTTTTTTTTAAATTTTAGTTTCACCACACTTTGCCCAAACACACAAATCAACTTCTAATGGTCACACCCAGCAGGTTGCTAGATGATAGTACAGGATAAAGCATTTGCTGCATCTGAGATCCCAGGTGTCTTAGTCCATTTAGTGTTGCTATAACAGGATGCATGAGGTTGAGTAATTTATAAAGAGAAGAGGTTTGTGGCTGGGCGCAGTGGCCCACGCCTGTAATCCTAGCACTCTGGGAGGCCGAGGCGGGCGGATCATTTGAGCTCAAGAGTTCAAGACCAGCCTGAGCAAGAGCGAGACCCCGTCTCTACCAAAAATAGAAAGAAATTAATCGGACAGCTAAAAATATATAGAAAAAAATTAGCCGGGCATGGTGGCGCATGCCTGTAGTCCCAGCCACTCGGGA